AAGCAAAAGATGAACTTGATCTTTATATTGAATTTGAAGCATATAAAAAGAAAATTTATACCAATCCATTAATATTTTGGAAAGAATATGAGAGTATTTTTCGAAATCTATCTAAATTAGCACGTCGAATTTACTCGGTCCCATGCACTTCAGCTGCTGTAGAAAGAGAAGGATGTGGGTGTAGGTATAGGTGTGGGTGTGGATTTCAAAAGAGAAGACACTCACACCCACACGCACACCCTTATTCTATCATTTTCATGAAACTTTCGTTAAACTGCTTAATAGTTTATACTGGTTTTAGATTTTAGTCAAATTTTAAGTATATTGCTAAAATTTGAAATGACAACCATGATTTTATGCTTAATATTCCTAGGAAAAAAATGTGTTTTTGATTTAAATATTTTAGTATATGGTTTATGAGTGTTGCTGCCAACATATCGACTAACATGTTCATATTTTCTATGATATGATCGAATAAAAAGAAAAAAGTTATATTGTACCTTAACATCTTGAAAATGTTGTAGTTGATGATCATTGTCTCCGTTAACTCTACAGAAAAAAAAGAATAAAATGAATCAATAATTAATTGAATATCAAAACATAGTTCAATGCGTAATTTACTTGTTTTCTAAACGTTGCAATGTTTTTTCAGTTGATAACTGAATATTTTTAATGAATATCTTAGATTTCCAATATATTTCTGCATATTCTTTTTCAACATTCATCTGATAAAAGTTGTTTTCGATATTGTTCTCCCCTGATTCATCTAAATTCCATCAATTACTATTACATTCAAAACAAAAATGATCTAATTTTACTAGATTTAATCGAAAAGCATCTGATACATTTGCTACGACATAATGCGTAGATTATAAAGCGCACAAGATAGTAGATAATGCTTAATGGAGAAGGTAATATGGGTTTTTCACTGAATTCATGAACCAAAAAAAATCGTTGATATCGCCAAATCATATTTGATTTTTTAATTACATCTCCAATTGTCTCACTACATAATATTAAATGAACATTATTATTCAAAAAATCAAATATCTATTTTTTTTGTTTTACACTCACTTAAACATAGCAATGAGAACATTCAAAAGGAGTACATTTGATATTACTACGAAAATAATTGCATATAAGAAAACAAATGTACCATAGATATCATTTTCTAAAGAAAATCGAAACAGATTTCTTGTTCATCGATAATAATAGTGAACATATTTTATATTCATACCACTAACTACTTCCATATCAGTATTATTATCATTATATGGTTCGGCTACTTGCCCAAATACTTTCCAAATACCCCAGTTAAATACATCTCTTATCAATTGCCAATTCGATAACACTTTATTTTCGTCTGCTATAGTGAAATTAATTAACGAACCATTAATTGAATACAACCAAGTAATTTGATTTTTGGTAGATAACAAAGACCAAGATGTAATCGAAAATGCAAGAAGAAAAACAAGTATAAAACACACAAAAATCAAAAATGTATCTTTCATCTGTAATAAAAAAAATAAGAAATTAAATATTATGTTGATTTATGAGCATAATCACCATTCTATAGATCATTACTAGTTTTGGTCCCAACATTTCGTATGCAGTAAAAAAATACAGTACTCGTATACACCAAATAATAAAATCAATTGACATGAGTATTCTAAATAAAAATCGAATTAAGTTACATTTGATTCATAACTATTTTCTTCATGGATATGATGGAAGACATTAAATAATCATATTTCGCCATTATCATTTTCACAATTAGCCTATTTTCTTTTGTTTCTATTAAAGTAATTCCATTGTAACTCATACTTTCATTTCGTAGTAATGGTAGATACAAATTTGAAATTGTATTCATGTGGTGCAAATATATATTGTAAAACACGATCTATACGAGTGTTGAAGTATATCGGATAGTATATTCATTCGCCCTCTCTCTCACCACTATACATAAAAAAACCAAACTTTCGGGACCTAGTAATAGCACATATGTTGCGTTTCAAATTTTCATTCCATATCAGAGACGAGCACAAAACAGGACAGTCCTGCTGTCCTGTTGCCCGGCAGGACGGAATTACTAACAGAACAAAATTTTTATTTTTCGGTCTCTGTCCTACATTTAATTTGATATTTTTAAACAATTTTCATATTACACGTATTTGTATTAGATTGGTACGTAAGTTCTGCATGTTTTTTTCTGTTCGACAACAAATTAATTTTTCAACGAAGATATGCAACGGCAATGAACAATATAATCATCATCTTTTTCGACAATCTTCGCCTATCTTGCTGCCAAAATTTCAGGTTTGTAGAAACTAGCTGTTTGTGATTCGAGAAAGGCAGTGATGTCAGATTTTTGCTCATCGAAGTCTTCATAGTGTTTGTTGCTCAGATAATTCTGAAGAGATGGGAACAGATGATAATCGGTTGACGCAAAGTCTGGTGCCCACGGCGGGTGCGCAAGAACCTCCCATCCAAACTGTTTGATTGTTTGCTGACTCGTCATTTAACATGAAAAAAAGAATATAGAAGTCTATTGGAACAGTATCCAAAACGTGCAGAACTTATGACCCAACCCAATACAAACGTGAAATTTAGCTATTCACAGCAAAATGGATGAAGGTTGTCGAAAACTATGATGATTATATTGTTTGATTGATGTTGCAAATTTTTGTTGAAAAATAAATTTCTTGTTGAACCGAGGGATGTCATAATATCCACAACTTGGGTATCGAGATGAATACCCAGATAGGATACCCAGTTGGATGGATATCTATGTATCCTCAGAGCTGAGGAATTTGAGTGCATTTGGTTTTATTTTAATATTGGGAAATTGAGGAGAATTTCCCATGCCGTCATTTTTTTATAGATACCGCCGGTTTCCGCCGGTTTCGATATTACCGCCGGTAAAGTGCGGTTAACCGACGGTTTTAATATTACCGTCGGTTCTGACGATAATTCGCAGTTGATGTACAAATAATTTCTAAATATTATTTTCGATATCTGTCATCAATACTATCAATAAAAAAGGCTGTTAGAATTTTTTTATTTTTTTTTCTGTTAAAACAATCGTAAAACCTATCAAAAAATTAATATTTTCGAAAGTAAATTCACATGAAGCAACTCAAAAATACTTCAGTATTTTTACGAATATCTCGGCGATGAAAAAAACGTTTTTCTATCAATATTTTTTCATTTTTACCTAAATTTCACGATATTTCTATTTTCTTTTACATTCAATTCTCAGACGAAAAATGATTTCAAGAGAAATCATTATTAGTACTCGTTTTATTCTGAATTGAGCTGAAATTAATTTGTATTTTATTCATAGTGAAATCTTTTTAATCAAAGGGATTTAATGATAATAACAGCGAAAAAAATCAGTATCGTTATGTTTTTTTCAAATGAAATTTATTTAGGACTGAATTAAGACAAATCAAATTCAATATTTTTTCTCTAAAATAAAATTGATATCATTATTTCTTGATGGAAATGAATTCATTTTAAGTCTAGCGGTTTTCTTTATTTATTCACAAATTTATACTTCAATTTTATTCTTTTCTTTTTTATTAATGATAATATCTAAATTTATCATTCCGATCAACTTTCCCTCGAGACAAAAACTGAAACGAACTGCAAAAACAAATAATTGTTTTTTGTAAATAGCTTTTATTAGTTTTCACAGTAATGTTATTGCAGGCAAGAAAAAACGAAACGTGAAAAACTTTTTTTTTCAAGCTGAAGAACAACCAATCAGTTCGAATGAATCACCCTCATTTGATTGGCTTGGAAAAAAATCACCAATAGAATAGTTGATAGATGGCACTGTGAAATGTTTTAATTAGTCGATCAAGCGATGATTCATAGTGAAATGGATACCCATTCTCGTTACACCAAATGCACTCAAATTCCTCAGCTATGAGAAACATGGGTATTCATTTTAGTATGCATTTTTAGATATCCACTTGAATGGATATCGTGACTGGTATGTCGACGATACCCAGTGTTAGGATATTATGACATCTCTGTAATCGTGGGAGTAAATTCAATCCAGTCATTATTCGCTTTCTTTTTTTTCTAAATTTTGCAAATGGATCATGACCATACCGACCCATGTAGCCGATAATGTAAAATAATGGGAAAATTTTCCAATAATCCATTGTTTTTTAATGAATTATTTCAAATTTTACCATTATTTCCCTGCAATGCATTATAAATTATAATGCATCAAAATTTAAAAATATAATGGAATCTAATTNTTAATGAATTATTTCAAATTTTACCATTATTTCCCTGCAATGCATTATAAATTATAATGCATCAAAATTTAAAAATATAATGTAATTTAATGCATTGAAAGCATGAAAATTTTTAATTAATTAGATTCCATTATATTTTTAAATTTTGATGCATTATAATTTATAATGCATTGCAGGGAAATAATGGTAAAATCTGAAATAATTCATTAAAAGACAATGGATTATTGGAAAATTTTCCCATTATTTTACATTATCGGCTACATGGGTAATACAGAATTCATCAGATAAAATCATTCCAAGTCAATTTTGAGCAGGCCAGATTGGTATCTCTGGTTTGCTCTCCTTATCTTGTTCTTCTTTGTTTTGTTGGAATATCTACTAGCAAAAGATTTTGATAAGAACGACTATACTTATCAAAAGTTACATATTTAAGGTAACAAGCACAGCAAACAGAGGAAAAAATCCACATTCGAACAGTAGAGATCATGCATTGAATTCTTTTAAGTGTCCATAAGACGTTCTTATTTTCGAGATACAGTTGCTACCTTGAGGCGTGGGTGTGGTTTTGTATTAAAACAATCTCCCACCCTCACACTCTCAAGCTTTTAAAAACATTTTATTATATTAAAGAATTACAATTAAAATTTATTGCATTTAATCAAATAAAATAGATGCTGCCACTAGAAGTCGCAATCAGAAAAATAGCCCATCGTTGATGCATGTAATTGATTATGTAGCCAAAAACCCACCATCTAAATTCATTGAGAAAAGAAAAGATTGTAGAAATAGAATATATTTGAGTAAAATTTACCTATGGGTAAGGCAACGCCATTAATCATTTGAGATTTATCCGAGAGTAAAAAGATAATTGGATCAACAACATCTTCTACTTCTATTCAAACAAAATCAAAATAGAAAATAAATGAAAGTAAACTTTTTCTGTACAAACCTGCAAATCTATTTAATGGAATTTTCGATAACATTCCTGCAGCTTTCTTTTCGTCAGACCAACCTAAAACAACAAAAATTTTATTTAAAAACAAAAATTAGATATTTTCAAGTATTACGAACCAATTCGACCCATATCAGTTAACACAACCTGAAAAAAACAAATAAACATATAACACACTATCAGAATGTCAGAGTACTTACTGTTGGTTGTACAGTATTGACTCGAATCTAGAATAAAACCAATATCGAATTGTAGTAATGAAAAAAAAAACAAGCATTTCTTACTTGATGTGGACCTAGTTCTAATGCCATAACACGTGTCAAACCATCAACAGCTGCTTTTGTTGAACAATAGACACTATGGTCTTTGAGAGCTGCTGCCGAAGCTTGACTTGATAGATTAACAATCGATCCAGGTAATTTACGTTCGATTAAATCACGTGCAATTTCCTAACAAAAGTAGTATGTACAAATAAATCTCTTTTGTGTAAATATGAGATACCTGACTAATACAAATAATCGATCGAACATTGACATTAAATAATCTATGAGTTTTATAAATTAAAAATATAAATTAAAAACTATTTTTTGGAGATCCATACGTATCGAAATCTTCCGGTTTGACATCTAGAAATGAATCAAGAATAGCAACAGCAGCATTATTCACCAATAATTGAATAGGTAGATGTGGTTTGATAGCTTCTTTTGTTGCGTTCCAATCCGCTAAATCCACACATACCGGAGTAATACTGTTGTCCTAATGTCGAAAAAACAAATCATAATACACTAAATCGAGAAAAATTTCATTTGCTTACTTGTGCAATCAATTCTTTCAAATGCTCATTTGTTTTACTAACAGCAATTACTTTAGCACCAAGTTTAGCAAGTTTTAAAGTCAATGATTGACCAATACCTTAATGATATTTTTCTTTCAATATACTAAAATAGATTAGGTTGAACAACAGACCTCGTCCAGCCCCTGTAACACATACGGTCTTGTTTTGAAAATAATTTTCAGTCATCTAGAAAAATAATCATAAAAAAAAATAGTTGAAAGACAAATTTTTATAGAAAGAAATTTCATTAGGAATAAAAAAAGGAAATTGTCAAAACCATTATTGACATATTGCATTATGAAGTGGAATTGCTAATAGACCTGCAAATGTGATTCCAAATGAATCACCCACTGATGCAACACCCATAGAAAATTCACGATCAGGTTCCGGAATCTAAAATAAAATTATTCAAATAAAATAAAGTTTTATTTAGCTGCAAAATATACTTCAATTGATATCTTGTAAAATGTATTGACATAGGCTCCACCACCTATTAAACCTTCAAATACAACTAATCCAAAAACTAACCATATACTTGGTATAAAAGCGGTACGATAGACACAAGCAAAAAATATACCCAGATTAGTAAACTATGAGAAGATACAGTTTATATGAAGCAAAAATGAAAAGAAAATTTCTAACTTGAATAATTGGTAAAATCCAAAGATGATTAATTCTGAAAAGCGCTACTGATGAACGTGAAATGAAAACACCCAATTGATAAGTCACCGAGTACCTGAAAATGAACAATGTATTGAATATAAAAACCACTCGAATTATTATTAATTACCAACGATATTGAGATGAATGTGATAGATTTGATTTGTGAAAGAAAATAAGTTCATACTAGATGAAATAAGGTAGGCAAGAAGAACGGAAAACATGAGTACTTACCAATCCTTGATTAATTAAATATTCAGCAAAATAAACAAGTGACAATGGAATCATATATTTCAATAGTGGCTATAATGCATCAATGAAAATTATCAAAACAAAACATGACTTGCAATCATTTACTTTCACTAGTTGAAGTTTATTCGTGAACTTTGTAACTATTGTAGTTTTATTAACTGTTATCTTTTCTTCAGTATCATTGTCTACATAGGAAAATACAAATATATCTTCCCAATGGATCGACTATTCTTTCTACCTGTATCAGCATCAGTTGTTGTCGCATCACTTATCTGTTGATATGCTCGATGCTTTGCAGCAGCTTGACTAGCTCCGACCATAATATAACTTTAAATATTTGATAAAACCCTTTCGTTTAGAAGTTTTTACGCTCGATTTGTTACCTGAACACTTGAAGAGCAGGTATGAAAAGTAAAATAAGAATAGCAGTTCTAGGTTTGACTTTCAGTGGTCCCGTTAATGCTGCAAACGATAGAGCACCAAGTAAACCAGCAGCACCTGTACCGCTCGACCATGCACTAACCGTATGTTTAGGATAAAATGATGTTAATTGCAACATTGTTATTTCACCAAAACCTGAACTGATACTTGCACAAGCAACACCTTTAATTGACCATGCTACTTTATATTTCACGAACGATATCAATCGACTTACCAAATAAACTGAAAGCAACAACTTTTGAAAGGCCGACAATGACCAAAGCACTAACAGCAAATATGACAATCAAAACGAAGCGAATACTTGAATAGAAATAAACGTAAATCAGTGCATGGATGCGAAAAGAAAAACAAATCTCGATAGTGTTTACTTATATAAGATTTTGTGCATAAAAAATGGAGCTGTTACTTTAATAATTAATGCTGGTAAAATATCCGCTAGTAGAATAGCCTGAAAGACGATGGTGATAAGAAAAAAATACATGCATAGATAAAAACAAAATTTTAAACCGACACTAATTTAGTCGATTGCGCTGTTTCGAAAAAAAAGGTGAGTAGCTCGAGCATATTTTCCCATTCAATCTTATCTACTCACTCCTGTCGATGTTGGATTACAATCAAATCGATTTGTTGTATTATGTGACACCGGCTGAGTGGTACTATCATTTCCTTCCTGTTTTAAAATGTCATGGGCAGCACTTAACATTACTACATAACCAAAATTATTGCAAAGACCAAGAAGCCTAAAATGTTACAGTGAACTTTTGGATAAAACTAAAATGAATGTACCAAAAGCCAATAAATTCAATGAGCCATTTGCGACGTTCAGCTCGACTACGAACGTTTGCTATTGAAACCGAGTTCATGATCAAAAAGAAAGTAAGAACAAGAAACAGTGATTAAAAATTTTCGTCCCTATTTTTCCATCATCAATTCATGTGAACACGCTGAGTTTTTATTTTCAAAAAAAAAGAGAAAAAGACAAAAGAAAAGCGAACCAAATTGTCATAATTCGAGCCTATATCAGAGTTTGCATCAATCGAATACCGTTCATTTGAGTAATGACCATTTAATTTGCTCTTTAGCCTGATGGATTACCTAATAAACAAAAATATTTAGCAAAAAATTTCTCATTTTCAATCATGCAATCACTGCAACGAAAATAAAAAAAAACAAAATTCATCATCATGCTGCTTTTTTTTACTGTTTCAATCAATTATAAAATTATTCGTACATCAAATGTTGGATGAAATATAGATAAAGTTGTCAATGTCTAAATAATTATTGAAGCGAGAAATAGAGCAAAATCAACAGCTCGCATATATACACACATCATTTCTATAGTTTCTATCCGTCAGCATTATTGAGTAGCATATTGAATCCCTGATGGAAAATCTGACGGACAAGAAAAAGAAAGGATGAATATCTCTTACGTTAGTGGATTTTATTCGGTACTCATTTATTTCTTTTTTTTTCAGCGCTCACCTGTGAAACAGTCTGTTCGCCTAATGGAATATCATCTAGACGTAGTTGAACACGTTGTGTAATTAACATTGGATCTGATTCGAGTATAATTCTAATAACAAAAATAACCTTATGATTTTAACGAAAAATAAATATGAATCATTTACCCTTCATCACAAATTTCATCAACTGCAAGCATAATTAAATCCAGATTTTCACACAAAACTTTTTTTTCGACATTTTTTCTTAACATTGTACTCAATGATTCAAATAAACATGTTAAAACAGAGTTTAACATTAACTAAATAATTCCAATCAGTTAAAATTTTGATCCAAAAAAATGCTTACTTCATTCTCATTTGTACTACCAAGAACATAAAAAAGTAGGTCAACGTTATTTCGATAGACAATAGTTAAATTATCGAGTAGAATAACATCGCCAGCACCTTTATGCGTTTTATTAAATAAAGATTTTTCAAAGTCTTTTTGTTCTTTTACTGTCGAAAACGATTGATTGTAATACTAAAAAGGAAAAATATGAAAAGAGCATAGATAAAAATATAAATTCAAGCTATTTACTTTAGCTAAAATACGATTTCCATCATTGTCTAAAATAACAATACCTTTGATTACATACAATGATGGTACCTGAAAATAACTAAAATCATTAGTCTGAACTAGTAAGAACGATAAACTTACGAAGGAATTTTCTAACACCATTTTATTAATTGAAAAACTAAAACTAGAGTAATAAGATACCTGTTTGTTAATCTACCACGTCTTTATCTGAAGAAAGACAAAATATGATGTGAGTCAGGGTGCAGAATTGTTTGCTCATATTATTTCGACCACATAAAAAATACATCTCGAAATAGTTCGGACGCGAGCGACAACTATTGATATTCGTCAAGAATGAGTTTATGTGCATTAAGCGAAAATGATTTTTATTAATTATTTATTGTTATTTGTATTTAAAGAGCAGAAACAAAAATATGTCAAGACTAAGGAAATTTTATTTCTAATTTTAAAAAGAAAGAAAAACAATGTTTATGATGATAAATTCAAATGTTCATGAATAAAAAGAATAGTGTTAACAAAACAATCACTTGCACACGATGTTTCACTCAGTGCATGATTACTATCATAAACATATAATTTTGTTGGAATTTTATTTGCTTTCAAACATTCATAATAACGTAGGCCAACACTAAATGGTACACGTTTGTCTTTCTTGCCTAATTGTAATAGAACAGGTGTTTTTATTTGATCCATAAGACGTATGGATGATCGTTCAATAAGATAAGTGATCAATGATGTATTCGAAAAACGATTGCGTCCAGTTTCAAAATCAAATGGCATATTAGCAGATTGAGCTAAAGCCCAATCAGGTATATCCGATGTTATGTAAGTATGAAGAAGATCCATAACTGGATTTCGTAGGACAGAAACTGCATATTCCGTTGGATATTCTCCAATAAGTCGACCAATAATGACACCTGCATGAGATCCACCAATAAGTATAACTGATCGACTGGGTTCTGTATGTTGAAGACAACGATGAATAGCTTCATGACAATCTTGAACATCGGTTTTTGATATATTACCCAATAGTTTATCAACCGAAGCTAAGAAAAAACGAAGAATTTATTATAGTCCTATCACTCAAAACAAAATATCTATTTTTGATTACCTTGTCCAAAACCAATTGAACCTCGATAATTAACAATAAGCATATCAAAACCTAATGCAACATATGCAATAACACCAATATAATAATTCACTAAAACAAGTTAAAGTACAATAAACAAAAAAAGAAACATGATGGAAAACTGACTGGGAACATTTGAATTTGGTCCGCCGTGTACCAATACCATTAATGGTCGTTTTGCTTGTGTATCACGTACATGAACATAAACTGATTCAACAGGAATTAATTCATTGTCAGGAAAAAATCGATCAACATTCCATTCAATGCTATTTTTCTCTTCAGTCTTGAATTCATGCTCAGTAATTAAATACCAATCACTAGGATCTTTCTCCTTCTTGCTCAATGATTTTAAATCGAATACATACAATCGATAGGGTGTACGATAATCAACAACATTCACTGCAACATAATGGCCAAAAACACCAAGACCAATCATCGATGTATTTACACCCAATGGCGAATCAAGTGGTATGATATTTTGTTCAACGAAATCATAAACATATAAAACATTTCGTGAACCACATAATGATGGAAGAAGAAGATAACGTCCATCTGATGAATATCCTAGACGCGGAGGAGACATATAAAGACCTTTGAATTGTGTATCCCATTCAGCTTTGAATGGATCAGCATTTGAATATGTAACACTAAAATTCAAATTTTTATTCTATTTCATTTGAAAAATTTCCTTACTACTTACTTATCTACTCGATCGATAAGAATTTTTTCTTGTTGAGTTTCCGTATTGAACAGTACTAATCGTTTACATTGTGCATGTGCTCGATACGCATCCGTTTGAACATAGACAAATTCATTATCCGTTTTAGGTAAATGTCGTGGAAATAATCGACATAATTGATCGAACTCTGTTAATTGTTTCCATTCATTATTTCGCCAATTACATTTAAATAAAGCTGATGGCCGATTTTCACAATAGATTAAGCCAAGTCGATAGGGTTCCAGGCGAAATGCAACAAAAATCAGTTCATCGGGATTTGTGGTCCATGACGATTGACCAATATATAAATCATTTGGTTGATTTTCAATTAATTGAACTTTTTTTGTATCAAGATCAAATATGCAAACAACAGACGTTTCGAATGCTTCCATTTGTTCACCCCAATTTTCACGATAAACACTTGCAGGCTCACCAATTTCATCAAGTTTGTCAGCTGTAAAATAAGATTTTAATGGTTTACGTTTTTCTTCGGCTGTAAAAACTAATCGGCGTGAATCGGGACTCCATTCGAAAAAGCTTGCATAATCATTTTTTGGTAGAATTTTTCCATGTGGTGATATTTTACTATCGCTTACTTCATAACCAAATATTAAATGTTCATCATGCCAAATTTGAACATATTGCAGTTCTTGTTCGCCTTTGGTGTCTTTTGTTACTAATGCAACATATTTACCGTCAGGTGAAGCAAGACGACGAACGATATTTTTATTGATCGGTGTCACATTACTTGTAAATAAAAGTTGACGAGTTTTTAATGAATAAGTAAACGAACGTGTATAAGTTAAATCTTCTAATTTAACGAGATCCATAGTTGAAAAATAAGGTGTTAAATGAACAATTTCATCATTGGAATCTTGACGACAAGATTCAATGTTGGATAATGTTGGTTGACCAGCATAACGACGATAGCTTTCAATAGCTGATGTTAAGATTTTATTATCTGTTGTTGTCATTTTCGATCTGAAAAGTTTATCGAATATGAGAAATCCGACTGGATCAGAGATCGAGCATTTATAAAAATCTGGAACTCTCACTAGAATGTCTGCTCTTTTGATTCACTAAAAACAAAATCTAAGCCTAAATATTCGAGCGTAGTAGACACAAAAAAGCAGTAGAGAGACATAGCTAAGAAAGAAATATCTATAACAACAAATTTTCTAATCTCATTCAATCCGAATTATGAATTTTGTGAAACGGCCAGCAAAACACTAGATGCATTAATGTCAACATGGTGAACAATTGATTCACTAACCGATGAGTCAGTAAATTATTATAACTGAATCGATAAATGAAAGATGGTTTGAAATGAAAATGTTTCACAAATAAATGTCTTGTAGAAAATATAATTTGATGCATCAAGAAAAGCTTTTTTTTTTTATCTAAAATCAAATATAATTAATCAATATTTTATTTTCAAAAAAGAAAAAACAGAATTCTTTCTTAAATTTTAGCTTTCAATACAACATATTCAAAATTTGGTATTAGACGCCATAGTTTTTCATGCTCAAGTAAATTATCTTGTCGCTTTGACTTCGGCGGTAATAAAGTTTTAACTATGTCTACTACATCTTTGGCACAACCCCATGAAAGTGTTACACCAGCGCCCGAATGACCATAGCAATGCACGACATTCATATCAATCGATGTTTTTTCATGTTCAAGACGTACACCATTGTCTCGATAAGGTCTTAAACCAACTTGTACTTTTCCATGGCGAATTTGTTCAAGAGCAGGCAACGCTTTGCTACACATTCGAAGAATTTTTTGAGTATCACTTGCCACTGGTTTCGTATTCCAATCATTTAATTGAAATGTTCCACCTAAAACAACAGTATCGCCTTGTGGAATAACGTATCCGAAACCATCTTCTGTATCAAATGTATACACCGACTTTATCCATGGTGCATGAACACGAAGAACCTGAAGAAAATAAATGAAAGAATGAAATATCAGACGATTCAAAATATACTTGTCCGCGTGCCGGTCGAAGTGTCTGATCACCAACTAAATCTCTCGAAGCTAAACCTGTACAATTAATAACAACATCAGCTTTATCTTTTAATTCAATAAGTGAGTGAATTTTCTTTTTAATAAATTTAACTCGAGAATCTTCAGAAAGAAAACGTAGTAACTGTGGTAAATATTTTCGAACTTCAACAGCCACTGATACCATTACAAAACCTGATTTTGGTTTTAAATGATCAAACATCGCCAGTTCATGTTGATCCAATGAATGAGAATGTCGAACTAATTTTAAAAATTCAGGCTTTTTTGTAGTTTCATCATCCTTGATATTCTGACCATTGTAACCTTGTAAACTATACGATGGAAGTTTTATAATACCAGCACGAGCAGCTTTTGTTGAAAAAAATTCACTGAGAAATATATCATAGGTATAACCAGCCCAACGAAGTATTCGTTCATCGACAGCATTCAACCCATAGGGTTCCCAAAATCCAGCTGAAATATCCCCCGTTGTGTCTGGCGAAAATTTTTCACTAAGAATCGTTAATTGAAGATTTTCATTTGCTGCATATTCTTTTAATATAGTGCACGCTGTTGTCAAGCCGATAATACCTGCACCAACGATGGTAATACGATACGTATTCGACGAGCATGCCATCGTGTTGCCGATGAAAAAAACTAACAATAGAAAGGTAACTTTAAGTTGCTAATAATCACGATGAAAATGATACGTTTATCATTGAGTTTGAATACATTTGAAAGCGATAACAGAGTATTTAACCACCAATGAGAATCGAATATGACCTTTATCGTGATATAAACTACCTTTAGATTAATCAGACAAAATAGAATGTCATCTATGTACGTATACCAATAGAACATGTTCGACCAAGCCTACTTCTGCGAGTAGAATCCAGTTTACTATTCTGCATTGTTGACCGCAGAAAATTGCAATATTTTCACGATAATGAAAAGATTTTTCAATCCAATTGAATATTATCTACAAAACACGTCTCTTTTTTATTTATTTTTATATACAAAAATTATAATTAAACATTACACAAATATAAATTAACGAGAAACAAGGAAAATCAAACAAATTCATTCTATTAAACCATGATTAGCAAGGGAACGAGTTAGAAATGATGTTGTAGCGCCAAGTTTAAAGCGTTTGCTACCCAATGTTTGAACAGGCATCACTAGAAGAAGAAAAACAATCATATTTGAACGAATCACATAAAAGTCTATCTTACCACTACGTTTTGATTCTTCTTCATCATAAGCGAAAAGACCTGATGTTGGTCGTCGAATTTCATTATTAACACTTAAGAGTTGTACTTTTCGACGCTCTTTTGGTTCATTATCTTCTTCTTCTCGTGTTCGTTTGAGTGGAGTAATTGTCACAGTTCGTTGTGATGTAATTGTCATATCATTATTATTTTCAATAATAGAAACTTGTCGTTTCATATTCGTACGTAAATCAATTGCACTATCAACTGATGTTGACGGTTCGATTTTCTTTTTCATTATTACGAATGGATTAACAAGTTTATTTGCTAAATTTGTCACTTTTTTACTTATCAATGATGTTTGCCGTTGAAATAATGATGTTGAAGAATCAAGTCGTTTTAGTCGATCGGTACCAACAACTTTTTTTTGTAACGATATCGTGTCTATTTAACAACGGAAATAGAAGATTTATATTTCAAAAAAAATTCGCCTATAAAACTAACCAGAAAGAGATTTTATTGTTCGTAGTCCATGAACTGATGTCGATGGCACTTTTTTTAGTACACCTTGATAATCGAGTGGTGATGATGATAACGATGAAGCAGGTCTAGTTTGAATTTTGCCATTATCATCGACAGTGATTACTTTTTCTTCGGGTTCCAGAAGATGACCAAAATTACGTTTTCGTATTTCACTTGTTGGTTCTTCATAGGGATAAATTACTGACGTAGGACCTACATAAAAATTTGAAATTAATTAGAATAAGTGACTTATAAGTTCTACTAACGATCGTTGAGTGAAATACGAGAAAGCATTGCTGGTGATAAATTACAGGACGATTTTGATAATACACTTGAATTCAACCGTGTCGTTTGACTATCGCCAAGCCAATTTTCAATAATACGATTAGCGACTAAAATATTTCACTAAAATCTCCTATTTTTCAATCACATATTTTATACTTACGCGTTGATCGTCTTTTTACTACCGATTGTTCATTTGTCTAAAAACGATTTATCATAGAAATAATGCGATTCGATTTATAATTTACTTTATCAGTTAAAAGATGAGCTTGTTTAATCAAACGACTACGATCAGCTGGATTAGTAATTCCTAATTCGTTTAATTCATTCTCATCGCTTGCCAAAAGTTCTTCAATTGTTGAATAACAATCAGCTAATGCCATACTATATTTCAATATAATACTATTGTTTACTGAGAGATTCGAGTCCGATACAAATCTGAGCCAATATGACATATCTAAATGAGAATAAAAAATAATTTTCTTTTTGCAAAAAATAATCACCAGTATCTACCAGAGGTCAATCGTTCCGACATTTTTCAGCAGTTTGCAAAAATTGAGAGACAAAGACAATATGAAACAAAGCATAAGCAACAACGTTATGAAAGAACAAAAGTGTATTAACCAATAGACACTGTTTTGATGGATGGCGCTGTATATCGGCACCCAAATTTCTTCTATATGAAACGTAATTACGGTTGACATATCATTACATATAGATAAGACTTATGTTGCTCGTAAGAACGTGAAAAAATGTAAGACCTCTTCTTCAGTATCCTTATGTTTAAAGAATGATAAGTTCGATATTTAGAAGACTAGTCCGATACAACGATGCTATAATAGTAAGAAAGGACTCTATTTTGGCATAGTTTGTTGATTGTGTTTTTTTTTAGACAAAAACCCATTTTCTATTAACGCAATATAGAGTATTAGTAACTCTTCAAGAAAAGAAGTTGTTGAATAAACGAAATTACGTCTGGATGAATAACTAAACATGCGACTATGATAACTTTTGAGTTCTTTCGAGGAAGAAAACTCAAAATAAACAGTCCTACGAATCATTTACATTCCTTATCTATGACGTACGAGCATAAGAAAATAGACTATAAAAGTGTATACGGTAAGGAGTGTTTCTAAAAGGAAGTCTCTAGAGCAAAAGCAAAATGTTCGAACTTCGAAGCACCTGCTATTTTCGATATACACTCTGATTTACACTTTGCTCAAAAAACAAAAATGTAAGACTTACACTTTGAAAAAAAAATAACATTTTGATTTTAGATCACGAAAATCATATCTCAATAATATCTTTTCGTATATCAAACAATATAGTCCGACAGCTCTCGGTCAACAACACCATTCGTTCGATCCTGTTTTCTCTTTTGTCTTTCTTTCTTTCATTCTATTGTGTCCACGTCTGATTGTTTATAGTGTTTCTTATTGTGCTATTGATCAACGACCAAGAAATGAAGAAAACAATACTTATAGTTTCCATTTCTAATCTTTTTTTCTATTTTATTTCTTTTCTGACGATTACAAAAACAATTAAAATTACATCTAATTTGGAACGAGAGCTGGTCATAGTCATCTCATTCAGCATGTAGTCCATTTTCAGTTGAAGACGTAAAAACAGGCAAACAATTGAGAGAACGGGTTTGCAACTTGTCCGGTTAACTCTGTTACTGACGAGTAAATACTTTAATCTTTTACGAATTTTGCTTTTCTCTTAATTTTGATAAGTCTACCAGAGAAACGCTAGCAACCTTTTATTTTGTTCACTCAAATGTGCTCTACAAAGTGTACTTTTCATGTTTCCTGTATGAAATACTATTTCGCATGTCTTTATAAAAATAATACAACCGAATAAAAAGAAAATATTAAGTACACTTTGTAGAACAACGCATGAAACGCGGTTTTGCCCAAAATTCCAGTTTTGAGTGTTTAAGCACATCTCCCAAATCTTTGCCTGCTTGGACAAAATAAAATTACTGCCATCGTCATCCTCACTTGCTGTATCAACAGATTCACATTGTGAGGTCGCAATTATACATGATAATATGAAATAACAAATAATTAGCAACGGCCAGTAATGCTCTTACTTTTTTGTTTCAAAATCTATGTGCCTTTCTTTCTTTATGAAACCGATAAAAAATAATTCTTCTTATTCTCTTTCGAGACTATTTGAACTCTTTTTGTTTATTTACATTTTGATACACTTTGCTTATAAAGTCAACGAGTAAAGATACATCGTTTTTACATGAACGAAATGTACAAAAAGATTTTATTTCAGATTTCTATTAGAAACGCTGACAGACAGGATTTTTTTCTACTTTGTAATATATCTGTGTATCAACAATTCACAGTTAATTTTACACAATGAATGAATTGGATCCTCCACCTCCATCCTACGATCAAATCAAAAATTCTCCTGGCACTGAGAACTCTAATCCAAAGTGGTGTGTAAAAGCTTCTTCTTCAAAAAAAGATTTATACTTTTTTCTTCTATTTTTAATCTAGGCAATCATGGTACAGAAAATTCATTGAATTAAAATTCACTAGCAACGAAGCAAATGAGTACACAGAATTATTCATAACCAATGATATTGAAATTAGTATGATTCCTGAACTTACCGATCCTATTCTTCGATCGATTGGCATTGATAAAGCTGGACAGTATGTGTTTAATTTTTATCTTTTCCCAAAAACAAACGACATTCTTTTTTTTATCTAGTCGTATTCGGATACTTCGTCTTCAAACTAAGCCTTCTACTCAGACGACAACAAGAAATCCAGTAGCGCCAAGTCGTCCTGTTGTTAATGTAAATGAGAGTAAACTTTCTTATGTTGTATTTAATTGAATTGTTCTAGACACCACGATGTATTAATCACCCGAATGTAGCTGCGAATGAAAAATGTTGTAAATGTAAACGACTTGTTTGTCTTCATTGTCGTCGTGAAAAATCAGGTGACGGAGGTCGACGATATTTTTGTCAAGATTGTTATGATGATTGTACAATTCTTTGAAGAAAAGTATTGAATGTTTAACATGTCTTGTTGATTTATTTCTAATCAATCAACTGTTATATTTGTAATTATTACTACAGCCTTTTTTGATATTTAATTGAATCATTTCAAACGATGAGTATCATTAAATGATGATAATTTAATTTATTTAATAAATGAACAATATCGTGATAATCAATACTATTTCATTTTAAAGTTTCGAGTTGATATCGGGCTTCATTGACTGACACCCGTTAGAAAAAAGACTTGAAAAAATTTGTCCACATCAATAGACTAAACATTTGACGCTCGAGCTGAATCTGTAGTTTGGACTTTTTTCAAATTTAATAAACAAATGGTATATTTTTTTCGATACAATTGATGCAATTAACTCTGACTTTAATGTTGTGTCCTCACTTGACTTATGCCTATGTTTTGATTTGTATTTACTCGTACATTTCTGTCAAAAATAATTCGCAACAACCTATAAGATGAGGACAGAAGTCAATCGTAAATTTATGTGTTCTGACTACAGATTGCAATCTATCTTCGCTTAATTTTTTCTAGAATTTTAAAGCAGATAGTACTAATCTACATGACGACGTTCAAAATTGCTAATGTATAGAAAATTACTTCAGTATGGGCATTGTTTCTAATTCATTTCTCATCAAATATCATACAACCGTATCTATGAAAGTATGCATTGATGTTGATTCGGTCTATTAGCTTTTGTTTTGTTACTCATTTCATTGCTCTTCTGTCCTCAATCTTAATATTTCAGTATGTTAGATTAGTGGATTCGGATTGGTCGATTTGATTGTGAACCAAACCAAAACAGTTCATTTTCTTGCATGCTAATAGGTCAATAGAGTAGTGCATAGATAATATACATTCTTGTTACAAAAATAAAAAATTTTTTGATGAGAATACTTAATTAAGAGAGCTGACATTGTTTTTAAATGATAATATCTTGTACACCGTACGTTTCGACATTGGAAACATTGCCAAAGCATTTTTAAAGAATAAGTAGTGATTATAAGCAAGAAGCTAAACTATAATTGTCAGTCCTGCAATTTCAACTGCGAGTCATATATTAATATTTTGAAGAACCACGGCTCACTGTAAATATTCAGTACTCGTGGCACTCCGTTTGTTTGAACGAGCATGTTAAAATGCAAGACATGATAAAGCACTTGTTCATGCTCTTTCTAAAAATGAAAGGCCAAATGCTCATAACCAACCTCCTTTCTGACCTGTGGAAAAAATGTTATCTGAGAAACACAATTTTTATTTTTATGATTAAAACATTCCTCAAATATGTTGATCATTTTAGGTTTATTAGCATTACGACTTTGTCATCAACAATGAGCGAACCATGTACTCCGCCTCCATCGTATAATAATACTAGCGATATTTTCGCCAATTCAAACTCAAATCCATACTGGTGTGTATAAGATGCTCCCTGAAGAAAAAATTTGTTTTTCTTCATTTTCATCGTAGGCAAGCATGGCGTAGAAAATTGTTTGAATTTAGATTCAGTTAAGAAGAAGCAAATGAATATGCAGCATTGTGCGCAACGAATGACATCGAAATTAATATGCTTTCTGAACTTACAGATAGTGTTCTTCAATCAATCGGAATTAGTAAAGGCGGGCAGTAAGGTTTTTTCTTGATTGTTATCTCTTATAAAAAAAAAGAACCTATTTTTCATGTAGTCGTATTTGAATACTTTGATTTAAAAAAAATCGTCCATTATCCCGCCCTCAATCTTAGCTTCAAGAACTCCTGCTCGACCAGTTATTAATGTAAATAAAATAAAAGTTCTAGATTTTACACATTTGAATTGTTGTCGACTCCACAATGCGCTTACCATCCAAATGTAGCTGCTAATGAAAAATGTTGTAAATGTAAACGACTTGCTTGTCTTGACTGTCGCCGTGAAAAAAGAAGTCAATATGGTGGACGATTTTATTGTCAAACTTGTTATAACGAATGTACGATTCTTTGAAAAACATACTTAATCATGTCTTTTTATACTCGTTGTCTTACAATCGAAAATAAAAACATAGTGGAATTAGGATGCACTGTTCGTGTCTTAATTCGTACGATACAGAACGTTTAGATGGAATCATTTATTGCTTTTTTTGATGAGAATTATCCTGAGAAAATTCAATCATAACCATAGATCAGACTTGAAAACTCTATTTTTGTGAGTTGTTATCATTGAATGGAAAAGGTCTAAGAGCGGGCGATTCACAGTCACTAAACAGTTATGTTGTATTTCTTCTACTTTTTGAAGAAAAAGAACTAAAAAGTAACGTTAATCATGTCGGACGGACAGGTAGTATAAACATTTTCTCGATTGAATCTCAAAAGTGATCTATCTTTTGACGCATATTCGGGCGACCCTGGACAACGTCATGTTCTGACGTCATGCGTTTGCTTGTTTCTTTCTTTGCTTCATACCTTATAACAAGGTATGTTATTTAGCAATAGTTAACTACATTACAACCAATCACTACGCGTAAAAATGAGCAATGAAGTGCGTTCAAGCGATGTATTTATAAGTACATGCAACAAAAGATGATATCATAAACTACGCCCACATTCGACTATCTTAATAATAACTGAGGTTTTTTACGAAGCCTCACACAAATACTCATCTAGCACCCTACAATTTCTATAAGACAAATATTTTTCTTCTGCATTGTGATCTTTCTATATTCAATGAGTGAATTATATTCTCCACCTCCAGCCTACGATGAAATCTGCAATACGTCTATATCTTCAACTGCGAATCCAAAGTGGTATGTAACACTTCTTTCACGAAGTATGTATTTTTTCGTTTTGTTTTCATTATAGGCAAGCATGGTATAAGGAGTTGCATGCATTGAATTTTACTCAAGAAGAAATGAATGAATATACAAAATTATTTGTAAATAATGATATGGATATAAGTATGATTCCTGAGCTTGGTGATGCTACTCTTCAAACTATGGGAATTGATAAAGCTGGACAGTATGTTTCTTTAGTCGCTTTCTGTTATGAAAAATATATATATGCATAATTTTATCTAGTCGTATTCGAATACTTCGCCTTCAAAATAACGCTTCAAATGTGACGACAATACGTTCGATAAATGTAATTTCTCAGGTTGTTGATGTAAATTAAATTAAGCATGTATATTTCATTGAATTGAATCGAATATTTCTAGAGGCCACAGTGCATTTGGCATCCAGATACATTGGCTATTGCAAAATGTTATAGATGTAGACGACATGTATGCTTATCTTGTCGTCGAAACGGTCCAACGAACGGTACTCGACGAAGTGTTTGTCGCATGTGTTCTGTTGAATGCACCATTCTTTGAAAAACTTGATAGATAGTTTTTTTGTGTTACTGTATTGTTCTAGTATAAAATAAATAAATGCGGAAACATCGGATTTGCATCCGATTGTTATGTGTACTTCAAAAAGCAAAAATGTACATCCATTTTTTTCTATAAGGCATAGATCTCATCAAGATACGCCCCTTCTCACTAAATTACAAGGAGAAAATACAGGCATGCTAAGTTAGCATGGACCACACTGTATGCAACTCTATCCAGTGATCACTGACTCCACTCTCAGTGTGATATAATATCTTTAGAGATCACAGAAATTGAGCTCAGATTCGTGTTCAGCTTCAAAAACTGGATAAGAACAGTTATTTTTGAATGGTTTTGTGTTTGTATCTAGCAGGATTACGATCGTAAGCAACCTCATGAATTTATAAGAGA